ATTCTGATCATCTCAGAAATGAAAAGTGTGTTTGGGAGCAAATAAAACGCATACAAAGCGCACAGGCATAAAAGACGAGATTTAATATTCGTTAACGGATTGAGAGAAACTTGTCTTAATCTCAGTGAATTCAATTTTTCAACACTCCAATCCCTGTTCTTAGGAAATTCAAAATCTATTAGATTGATAAACTCTACTAGAGGTCAAGAAACTATTTTGGAGAAGAGATGAACGTGCTAAGAAAACTGCGATGGATATGGCTAAATAATTTATTTCCCAATAAGCTCAGTCAGTCTTGTAGTATTTGGATGTCAGTAAAAATCATGATATTTGTGTAATATCTATTCATCGCTTAATGGAAGCTTATTTCGCAAACTGTCAGACACTTCTTTTCCTGGAGGTCTTGTCTCCGAGAGATTCCGTCGTTGGGAAGAAAGTTGACATTCAATTCCAGGCCCTTTCAATACCTTCCTGAAATCTGAGTATTGCATAGAAGTTTGCCAACTGCCAAAATTTGTGCAACCCTAAGGAATCTCGTTCTAGCAATGACTTATGTAATGTTGATGCTTATATTTGCTTGTATGTCGTATCTTGAGTGATCGTTCGGAGTGGTCAGTTCAAAGTTCAAATTTTTTTTTCAAGAAATATGGACTCATTAATCACTTGTCTTAACGTCTATTTCGAGGATTGACGAGATCGACGAACAATGACAAAAGAAAGAAAATAGATGGACAAATTATTCTAGTCAGCCGTTTGCAGCAAACATGATATTAGGCTTCCAAAAAAAGGGGACCGATTGCATGAAAAAGATATTAATCTAGATTAATACAGCAAAATTTTTTGCAAACCTTTTGGTTTTATTATATTATTTTACTATTCAACAATTCCTGAACAAACCCCAAATAGTACTTCAAAATCTGCCTGGCGCAGGAGGGTATATGATATTCAAATCACAAATATCATATCCATTTCGCCGGTAGGACCCTGTGTTACGACAGATGTACAGTAGGTGGCCAAATCATAAAACTGCTTGAAAAGTGTCTATGGAGCTAATTGACATGCTGATCACAAATATCACGCTTATTCCAAATGACTCTATAGTCGAAGTGCGTCAGGTATATGGCAGGCGAGCGAAGTCATCAGTTTTTCTGAAATCTTTTAGTCTTTCCTTTAGAAGGGTTTTTTTATTACGCTAATCATATGGGATTACGGCGAAAAGCCCTTATTGAGGATTATTTTGGTTTCGCTACGGCAAGTAACTTACCCCGGTCCGTATGAAATGATAC